TATCTATGACCTAGTTCAAGTTTAATTTTTGTATATACTGTGAAGGAAATGTAGAGGTTTATTTTTTTCTGCATATGGTTATCAAATTATTCCAGCATTATTTGTCCAAAAAAACAATCCTTTATTGAATTGTCTTGGCATTTTATCAAAGGCAATAGACCATTTGATTCCCAACAGAATTTGACCCCTTAAAAGTATGTTTTTGATAATTTTATGTTATCCTATATTATGATTATTTTGTATTTATTCTTTATTAAACTGAAAGCTCCTTGAGGACATAAATATCTTACTTATTTCTGAATCACCTGACACTCAGCATTCTCAGTGAAAATATGATGTGTTTAAGTATATTCTAGCATTCATGACTCCTCACTGCTAGATTGAGACATGTGGTTACCCCAGACAGGCTCATGATTTGGAGTGCTTTCAGACTAATTGTCTAAAGAATTTTTTTTTTTTACTACATTTACTTAAGCTGAACACTATATGTTAAAAGGGCAGAAAAGTGGAGGACTCCTGTATTAGTCAAACCTGGACAGGAAACTCATGGTATACTGGAGAGAAGGTGGGGCAGTAACTGAAAAGCGTTTACTGAAAGAAGTATTTACAGAGAGGGGGTAAGGCTGAGGGAACCCACAGGATGGTGAAACACACAGGGACTAGCAACTGGCTGGAAATCCCATTTCCTGAAGGCTTAAAGGGGCAGAGGGAAGAAATGGTTTTGCCAGAGCCCAGCAGGAGTGGGAGTCCTGGAAGATGGACCCTCCAACAGCAGCTGTGGTTATAGGGAAACACAGCTACTGCCATAACTATGGCAAAGGTGAGATGGAGTAGGTGAATTTATGTGTGTTTGTAGCGGAGAGGGGGAGTGGTAGATATCTCAATTTCTCTGTTTACTATCTTCTAATATCTTGCTAGTGACCAATCCCAACCAGAAGCCAGAGGTAAAGAAGCCCAGGTGCCATCCTTAGAGATCAGCATCCAGGAGGGTAGAGAAGGGTAAAAATGGATCCAGAAATCAATTGGGGGAGTAAAGAGTATAACATTATGTCATGCAATTCAGCTGTGGTTAAATGATATACTTTACTCAGGGAAGGAACTTTCTCTCCTTCAAAGGCAAATTGCTGACTATCTATTGTTGGAGCATACCTCTTGATTTTACCAACCAACCTAAGTGGCTTTTCAAAATGTTAATTCTACTGACATTTAATAACCACTGTTTCTTGAGGGGACCTCTGATAAGTACACTTTGCATGATCTCATTAAATTCCCACCTTATAGACATGATAGGAGGGGCTTCCCAGGTGGCTTAGTGGTAAAGAATCCGCCTGCCAATGCAGGAGATGCAGGTTTGATCCCTGGGTCAGGAAGATCCCCCTGCAGGAGGATAATGGCAACCCACTCCAGTAGCCTTGCCTGGAAAATCCCATGAACAGAAGAAGCTTGCAGGCTACAGTCCAGTCCATAACGTCGAAAAGAGAATGAACGACTAAGCACGCACGCAGGCATGATAGGAGCTTTCTTTTTTTAACAATGGCTTTCGAAAAATGTCTCTTGCTAAATGCAGTTACACAAACTTAGCAATGTTATTTGCCATTTTCGTATCTTTAAAGCCCATTCATTTTTATTCTCACCCAAAATGGTGACCGTACCTCCCTAGTTTTGTGTCATGAACACACTTTTTTTTTTTCTGGCCATGCCACATGCAGAATCTTTGTTCCCTGACCAGAGATGGAACCCATACACCCTATAGTCAAAACATGGAGTCTTAAACCACTGCACTGCCAGGGAAGTCCTTGAATGCGCTTTTCAGCAAGAGGTATGTGTGGAGGCCAAGTAGGGAGCTGACACAATTATACTATAATTCAAGGATTGTTTTTGTTTCTTTTCTTTACTGAAATCAGCAAGTTCTTTCAGTATGTTTTGCATTAATCCTTCTGTGATTCCCCTGTCAGCTAAAGCAGCACAGTCTTCAATTGACAATTGACAAATAATTTGTGCATGGCATGCTGTAGCTGTATTTCCTTTGCTGTTCTCCATACAACCTCCTTTTAATTTGGGGGACTATCAAACTTCTACTTTTTAACAATTGACTTCAGATTTCAGAGATTCCTGTTTATTCCTTTTGACTTCTTTTAAAACAGAGCTTTCCCCTATTTCCTTCAGATTTTTCCTACTTTTCAGAATCTGTACCTACCTCTTCTCTACCCCCAGTCTGTCTTCTCTATCCTTATTCCTATGTTAGTTTATAATTTAGACCTTAAACCTTATTGTAAGTGTGGCCACATGTAAAAGGGCTTTCCAGGTGGCTCAGCAGTAAAGATTCTGCCTGCAGTGCAGGAGTGCAGGAGATGCAGCTTCCATCCCTGGGTCGGGAAGATCCCCTGGAGGAGGAAATGGTTGCAACCCACTCCAGTGTTCTTGCCTGAAAAATCCCAAGAACAGAGGAGCCTGACAATCTACAGTCCATGGTGTCACAAAGAGTCAGACGTGACTGAAGCAACTTGAGCACACCACGTGCAAAAAATAAAGAGCTGAGAGGTTCATGATTTGTGAAAATAAAAATTCTGTAAAATTTAGACATTAAACATTTATCAGATAGGTCTAATAAGAACCAAAGGAATATCTTAAAATTGAAAAAAGAACAATATTTTTTCACTTCATAAGGTTGTTGGGAAGATTTAAAGAGAATAGTAATATGTAAAGTGCTTACTTACATATCAGGAAGCCTGGCATAAGGAAGATAGTATAAGAAAGAAATGTTAATTTTGGTTTTTGGTTTCTATTTGGAGTTCTTTGGTTGTTTGAAAAGAAGTTAAGAGCAATGTTTTATTAAAATTACAATGTATACACTTTAATTTGGGGACAAAAATTACTAATTGTCTCAATAATTTTTTTAAGCATACTTCAGTAAGGTCTCAGGGTCTCACCAGAGGTCACACATTCAGAGTAGGCTGGGGTAGGAGTCTGGGACCTGCCAGACTGGTTGATCAAAATCAGCCAGTTTTGATTCCAGCCTTTACTCTTTCACTTTGGGGCCATCATTTCAAAAAAGGGAGTTTTACTAGTTGCTCTAAAAGGTGCTTTCTAGTCTGTATCAGTTTTGCTGAGACTGCAATAGAAATGTATTCAAGATTTGCCTAATAATTTGCCATCATGTTTCATTTATCAAAGTTAATATTTGACCATCAAATACACATTTAATAGAAAATATTCTTTTATGAGCCAGAGTATCCATAGTCAATTTTTTCTTTCTCTTTCTTTCTTTCTGCCACACTGTGCAACTTGCAGGATCTTAGTTCCTAATCAGAGACTGAATCCTGAACCCAGGCCCCAGTAGTGAAAGCGCTGAGTCCCAACCACAGGACTGTCAGGGATTTCCTTTATGGTGCTTTCACTGCGGGGCCAGGTTTGGGGTTCAGTCCCTGGTGCAGGAACTAAGATCCTGCAAGTTGTGAGAACAAACAAAGCATATAAAATGAGCTTGTTTGGGGCAATTTTTAAAACATAGTACTTTCAGAACTTCAAAATTTACTTAATTTTCAATGACCATAGAAAATGTGTTAGAAATATATCTGACATACTTTCCTTTTCCATATTTACTGATGTTCCTAAGAATTTTACATTTTTTCTCACTTAGGGTCTTTCCACATTCAAACCTATTTACAGAGATGACAGTGATGTCTCCCCTTACAGAGTAAACCACAATAACCATCCTATTGGGATTTATTGGGGTTCAAAAAAAGAGATATAACTGCTTCATTTCAAAGTGATAAGGAGGGACTGAAATAATAGTGAGAGAATAACTCTAAGACCAGACCAACATTTCTACGATGTTTCATTTACAGTAACACCTCAGGGATGAACCAGGGGGGTGCAGTCCTTTTAGCTAGCCGTTGACACTGTCAATTCATACTTCAGCCTTCGTTTCCCTTTTACCCTTCCCCAACACACACACATAGAAGTTCAGGAGTGGCAAATTGTTGAATGTGTCTGGGGTGTACAAACTACACTAGAGCGTTAATGGACTTGGAGTTTAATTCAAGTTTTGCTACCGATTAACAGTGCAACCTTAAAGGCAAGTCATTTCACCTTTCAGTCATTCATTCAGCTCAGCTTACTTGTTGATTAGAAAACCAGTCTCCCAAGTACTGTTCTAGGTGCTGGGAATTCATACTTCCTACCTTCAAGTTGTTTACCTTCTAGTGGTAGTGATGGTGAAAGTGGTGAGACAGACAATAAATAACGCAGAATTTGTGAGAACAAGGAAAGAAAGAAAGCAGTAATATGATAAAAGTGATGAGGTGGATGGGGGTGGTGTGCTTCTTGAGATAGAGTATCTGAGATGTCTCTAGGCAACTGAAAAAGCAAGGTGTTGAACTGGAGGCTAAGAGTATCTGGCAGTTGGAAAGACATGTATTTTCTTCTTTTCATTATTGTCTTCTGGGAAGGCCCACCAATGCCTCTATTCTGGAAATAAATGCAAATGTGTTTAAGTCAAGCTCCGCATCAATTTGATAGTCTAATTTTTGAAGTAATCTATTTAAGAAGCAGTAAGTAAATATTTTAGTGTTATTTGGGGGGAGTTGCTGCTGGGCATTAAAGAAAAAAAAAAGACCCTCTAACAATAATAATATAAAAAGCAAACTGAGGTGCCAAGTTATATTTCTGTGCTCAGACTTATGCCCAGGATGCAGAAAGAAAACCTCCTTAGCTGTGCTGGGCTCAGGGGCTCCAGTGCGCCCCGGGTCCCCGGTCCCGGCCGCCAAGGCCGCAATACCTGACAGCTGTCGGGAAGGCTCCGAGCCCCAGAGCCCAGGGAGGAGGAGCCACGGGAGGGGCCGACTGGAAGCAGCCACCTCAGCGAAGAGGCAGGATTTCCGCGGCGTGAATGCCGGTGTCTCCCGGAAGAAAGGGCTCCTGCTGCAGATGTCCCGTGATTACCTCGGAAGTCTTGCTTCGCCGGTTGAAACTGCAGAATAAAGAAGGATTAGCAAAATATGGCTACGGAGGGCCCTGCCGTGCGTCGAGTCCATGTGGCGGAACATCCCAGGTGGGGAGAGGAGATGCCCGCGCTTTGGGATCGCTTGGGTTGGTTAGATGTAGAGGCTGTCGGAGCTTTCGGCTCTTCTAGGAGCAGACAGAACCCTTGGGATGTTACAGGGTCACTTGGCTGGGATTGCAAGAAGATCGCGCCGCAAAGTCTGTCCAGCCTTATTCACTACCAAGGAGTGTGTGTCTTGCTTCATCCATGCAGACCCTTCTTTCCCTTGCAGAAGGGTGGGACGTTTTCTGCTGGACTTTAGCAGAAAAACCCAAATTAATTTTGAATCTCTCTTTGTTTTGCTTGCCAGTGCTTTTTAAAGTCCCCCTTTTAAAATATTGAAAGCAATCAAATACAGCCAAAACAAAAACAGGAAAATGACCCCCAAACCAAAAAACCCCCTTGGTCTCTGCATCCTTCTAAATAAATCATGAAACCTATGCACCTTCCCTTAGGGAATTAATCTGCTGCCAGTACCTAGCTACAGAATAATTATCAGCTTAACCGATACTCCCTGTGGGATATTTTCATTTGAGGTCATCTTGCAAATACTTACTGGAAATACTTGTTTCTGACATAGGACAGAAATCTCATAGAATGAAATCTCCACCTGCTGGGTATTAGCTCTATAGCTTTTCTAAGGTTGGCTTTGCTCCCCTTTTGTTGTTTCTAATTTTTAGTATTTGTTCCCTGTTAATTTTTTCTCTATAATTAAGCCCTAAAGTTTTCCCTACTTCCTGGTTTATGACTGTCATGTGACAGTTAACAATATTAGAGCATACTGAAACTTGAAAATGCTTTTTCACCCTTGAAACATCAAAGAGTGCGTCTTTAGCTACGAAAAAGATACATAATTTTTGATTCTGGAGACTAGCACAGCCTTGGATGAGTTACAAGTGTCATATATTATTCTGTGTTTCCATTTTATGCCATTTTAGTCATAATGCTTGTTATTTCTATAGTTAACCTGTGAGAAGGGGGATGGTAATGTATACTAAAAGTGAAGAACTATTTACTAAATTTCCTTTGAGTTATTTCTTGCCTTAAAAGACTACAGTATTTATCCATGCATGCATGTGTGCTAAGTTGCTTCAGTCGTGTCTGACTCTTTGCGACCCCGTGGACTGTACCCTGCCCGGCTCCTTTGTCCATTGGATTCTCCAGGCAAGAATACTGGAGTGGATTGCCATGCCCTCCTCCAGGGGATCTTCCTGACCGAGGGATCCAACCTGTGTCTCTTATGTCTCCTGCATTGGCAGTTGGGCTCTTTACCACTGGTACCACCTGGGAAGCCCAGTTGTTTATGCAGCAGACATTTATTGTTAATATTTAGTATTCTGTGCTAGCTACAGAAGAGGTCATATAGTAGTCTGGTAAGGGTGCACTTTGCCATTTTCTTGTTTTTCATTTAATATAGTTATTTAACTTTAAGCAATGTTTGAGCCACTTATTCATTTTATCAGGAGTGAGTCCAGTTAAGTCTAGATAGTATATCTACAAACCCACCTAACTGGTTATATGTTGCAATATGCTGAAGGGGAAAAACATGCACAAGTGCCGCATTATCAGATTGTCCTTTTTTGGAACTTCTGCTCTTTCTTCAGGATACTGTCACTGGAAAAACATGCAACATGAGAGTTGTGAGTTAAGTTTTATTTGGGGCACATTGAGGACGATAGCCTGGGAGGCAGCATTTCAGAGAACTCTTAGAAACTGCTCTGAAGAGGTAGGGCAGAAGGTCAGTATGTTTGTGCTTTTGGTGAAGTGGACTACTTGCTATCAAGCAAACATTATTTTGCAGAAAGTTGCTGCTAGTCTCATGAAGGTTACTGCTAGTCACAAGGAGCAGATGTCACCATGAAGGATGTTAATGCTTTTCTAAATATGAGGAGATGCAAGAACTGGACTCATAAAATCTTCTTCTGAAAGTATCTATCTGAAGGCCAGTTCTGCTGGTTTTCCCTAGAGCGTCAAGTGCCTCATTCCTGATCTCCACCTTGAACTCCTTTCAGGGTATGTTGAAGGTCAATGGTCACAGCGGCTTGCATTTTAATCCTTATAGAGTAGTAGATGGCAGGTGTCAATTTTAGTTGGCAGTGCCTTTTCAGCTTCACAGGACACATGACCTTTTGAGTAAAGGGACTAGTCAACCACATCATAGAGTTTAGTAAACTTAATTTCTTTTTTATTCATTTTTAAAAATCAAATAGAAATAGAAACTCTAATTTCTTTTTCTGTATCCCAATCTTGCTTGCTTTTTGTACTTCAGATCCCACTGTTCTAATTTTTCATTCTTAGCATTTCTTTGCATTTAGAACCACTGTTCTAAATAGATCAGTTTATAGATGTACTATCTAGATTTAACTGAATTCACTCCTGATAAAATGAACTACTGATCTAAGTTTCTGTGCATTCTCTTCTCTTTTCCTTCTCTTTGGGATTAAGTTTTATTAAAAAAATTTTTTTTAAGTTTTCATTTCATTATTTATTTTTATGCTTGCTTCTTCGTTGTGGTACACAGGTTTAGTTGCCCCATGGTATGTGAGATCCCAGTTCCCTCATCAGAGATTGAACCCACACCCCCAGTATTGGAAGGTGGATTCTTAACCACTAGACCACAAGGGAAGTCCCATGAGATTACATTTTTAAATTGTTAGATTATTATTGCTTTTTGGTAACAGCTTTATTGATACATAATTCACATACTATACAGTTCAATTGTTTAGAATTTACAATTAAATCATTTTTGGTATATTCACAGGGTTGTGCAACCATCACCATAATCAAACTTAGAACATTCCCATCCTCACCCCCCACAAAGAACTCTGCATCTATTAAGCTTTCACTTCCTTGATACCTGCAAGCCCTAAGCAAATTCTAATGTACTCTTTGTAGATTTGCTTATTCTAGACCTTTCAAATAAATGGAATCAGATAATATGTTTTTGTGTATGTGTGTGACTGGCTTCTTTCACTTAATACAGTGTTTCAAGGTTCAACCATGTAACATGTTATCAATATGTCATTCCTTTTTATGATTGAATAATATTCTATTGTATTGACATATGACATTTTGTTTATCCATTCATCAATTGATGGCATTTTGGTTGCTTTCACCTTTTGGCTCTATGATTAGTGGTACTGTATAAACACGTTCTTAATATGAAAGATTTGAATTTTTTAAAAGTATAGTCAGTAAAGCCTGAAAACCCTACAATTCTTTTTCTCATAATCTGATTCTTATCCTTACTGCCAATTTTTACTTCCCTTCTTAGAAGTTTGGTTTGTTTTGTTTCCTTGTAATATCATTGTATCCTTTTGGTATCATTGTATCTTTATAATATTATTGTTAACATTTTTATGAAAATTGTATTATATTCATATAAGTAGAATCAAATTTGGTTTTCTGTAATTTACTTTTTTCCACTTAATATTTCTTAGAGATTCTGATATATCACTCCATAAAGATACATTTTATTTTTAATTACTATTTCATAGTACTAATATGATTATTTAACCACTCAATTATTAGAGTATACATTGAAGTTTCCAATTTTTCACTCACAAATATTGCTGCATTGCTGCAGTAAAAATCTTTATACATTTATCCTTAAGCATTTTTTATGTTTCCTTAAGCTCATTCATGAAAATGGAATCTAGGTCAAAGGTAATAAACATTTAAAATTTTGATTGTTTCAAAAAATAAAAATAAAACTTTAATAGTTGCTGCCAAATGGCCCTGCCACCCCCCAAAAAGATGTTATTAGATTGTCTGATTCTAGTTAGTTTTTAGAAACTCTTTATGTATGTATGTATGTATGTTGTGAATGAATATTTTTGAATAAACCCATATGATGTTTTATATGTTAGGTATATTATTCCCAGTTTAGCATTTTTCCTTTGACTTCATGTTTTTGTTGTGTAGACATTTTATATTTTATGTAGTGTGTTACAGTGTTGAATGGTAGTATCCTTGTCTTTATTTTGATTTTAATGGGAAAGCTTCTAATATTTTTGTCATCAAATATGTGATGTTTGCTATTTCTGGCAAGTAGCCTTGATTAAATTAAGGACATTTTCTTTTTTTCTAGTATGTCAGGAGCTATTTTCTTTTAAATTTAAACTTTTGTTAAAAACTCGGGAATGTTTATTGAATTATACTGGAGTGGGTAGCCTTTCCCTTCTCCAGGGGATCTTCCCAACCCAGAAATTGAACCCAGGTCTCCCACATTGCAGGCAGATTCTCTACCGGCTGAACCACAAGGGAAGCCCAGTAATACTGGAATGGGTAGCCTATCCCTTCTCCAGGGAGTCTTCCCAACCCAGGAATTGAACCAGGGTCTCCTGCATTGCAGTTGGATTCTTTACCAACTGAGCTATCAGGGAAGCCCTATATATACATACATATATGTATATATATGTGTGTGTGTATATATATATATATATATATATATATATATATCTGCATATTTTGAGAAGATCATGGAGCTATCCCTTCTCCAAGGGATCTTCCCTACCCAGGAATCGAACTGGGGCCTCCTGCATTGCAGGCAGTTTCTTTACCAACTGAGCTATCAGGGAAGCCCTATATATATACGTACATATATATCTGCTTATTTTGAGAAGATCATGGAGTTAGAGAGTTTTTTCCCCCTTTTTATTATGTTAGAATAGTACATTTAATCAACATAGTTCATATTGCTACTTCATATTCCTGGAATAAGCTCTGGTCACATATATTATAAAATAATATATGTTGGATTAAATTTACCAATATTTTACTTAGATTTTTCTTATACCATTTTAACAAGTGAGAGTAGCTTATAGTTTGCTTTGGGGGGCTATTCATAAGTGTTATTGTAAGGGTTATACTATTTGCAAAATTGGATGGGAAGGCTTTCCACCACTTCTATTAGAACCATTTATGAAAAAAAAATATTTTTTAAAGGTCTCACAGGACTAATACATAGTCTTTTCTGGCCCTTGTTAAGGGGATTATTTCCAACTACT